TAAAAGCAGGTCTAAAATAGCCGTTTCCGATTCTTTCCTTTTTTTTCCCCCTTCCTCACAAACTGAATCTCGATCCTATTTTCATTTCACGCATTCTACCGCTACCACAGCCATCTCGCCTTCTGGCCGCGTCACGTTGTTTTAACGGCTCTCTAATAGCTTCTTCATGCCGATGAGTCCCACGCCCACCTTCACTTCCTCCCTCCCTCCCTCTCTTGCTCATCCTTTCCCCCCGTCCCGCCCCAACAAGCGGTCGATGTGGTGGTGGTAGTGGTGGCGGTGGTAATTCACCCCCCGCCCTCTCCTCCCTCCGCTCAGGTATCGCTCGAAGCCAGCGGCGCGCTGGTTTTCTTCCACGCTGTTGCTACCTGTGTTGGCCAATACTTGGCTGCGGCGACACTGAGGCCAGCGCGCGGAGATGGAGGAGGATCGCAGACCGCGTGGCTCCCAAGACTAGGGCGTTTGCGAGTTCGGAGTTTACACCCCGGATCTGTCCCTGACCAGCCGTAGATCCAGTTGGCTACAGTCAGTCAGTCAGTCAGGCTGCCTGTGCCTCGTCCCACCGATCAGGGAGCAGCACAAAACCGCGGAGACAGCACGCGCTCAGAGTCGGAGCCCGAACTCCTCTTGTGCGAGAACAGAGCGGGAGGGGCGAGTGTAAAAGAGAGAGAACGAGAGAAAAAAAAGAAAACTGCGTAAAAAGCTGAGAAGTGAGCCTGCTGTTGCCAGTCTGTTGATTTCGTTTGTTCGTGATACTGTTAGCATTCTAGCAGCAGACACTGGGAACCGAAACCTCGCGCGTTTTATGTGTTCACGGAGAAAGTCTTCGACTCAGGAGTTTTGGCGTGTCTTATTTCCTGTAAAGCTGGCGTGAAGTTAGACATCATTGTCTTGGCGGATCTGCAACAAATTCCCTGGTCTCAGACTTTGCCATTGTTCAGAACGGGAACCCGAGACAGACCAGGCGTCAGGAGAGCGTGCTGTTGTCTCGTTTCAAACTGTTTATTATTCTAGCCAAACTTTTCCCGGGAGTTGGTCACGCCGGTAAAACCCACGAAGCCGATGTACGCGCGCGCGCTGGAATTCACAATAAGGCAGTGCGTGTTTGTTGTTGGGACTACAGTTGGCGGACACGCTTGAAACATTTCAAACAGTTACGTGTTCTCTTCCAAGGGGCTACTCCGACGAAACGACTTTCTCGGAACCTGGGAATTTTACTGTGTTTCGACTACCCTTGTTTGCGGGACTTAATGAATTACATGGTGATGTCTCTGTCACGATCTTCGTGAAGGAAACTAATGACATGTGAAGAATTTGCCAGGAATATTTCCTACTGTCACAGATAGTCAGACGGAGAGATCATCTTTTGCTGTTGTTTCTTTTCATCGCGAATATGGAGGTACTTTAATGTTTGTGTGATACTTGTCTTTGTTTGTACAGTTCGTACTGGGGATATGGTCTCAGGTCTCTGAGTGTGATGTT